GCGGATCGACTTATACCCGGCCTATCCGTGCGCTACTGTACAATTCCTGCGGAACGGCACCGCGCGCGTCGTGCCCGACATCGATATATCCCCGGGGGCTTCCGCAACGGGGGATATACCGATTGCCATCGGCTCCCCCCCCCCACATTTCCCCTCGGGGTTTTCGACCGTATACACGTCCGTAACGCGTAACGGCGCACGATTTTACCGCGGCGATACAAAATATTCCTTAGTGTAACACGTTTCGCCCCGGACGGGATTTTATCCTGCGGGCGCGCTTGCACGTGTCCCCGTACTTTACCTACGTACTTTCGGACACTTTTAGCGGTTCCTTTTGGATTGATCGAACTCGATATCGGGAACCGTAGAGAACGGATCATTGTTCCGCGGACGAATATCAGAGTGCTAAATGCCGGGTCGAAACCACAGTACGGCATGTGCGGCATGTTGTCGCGGCACACAAAGAGGGTGATTTTTCAGCTGGAAACACACCGTAAACTTCTCAAACGAAGCTAGAAGTGCGGTGGATGAAATTGTGTTCGGATGTATTGTATTCAGCGTCAAGGATATGCTTATTGGGAGTTTTTTTTTTGTTTTCTTTCGACAGTACGTATAGTGCAAGCATAATGTTATTATGGTGTTGCAATATTACAATAGCATTCGATTATTTATTGTTNTATTGTATTCAGCGTCAAGGATATGCTTATTGGGAGTTTTTTTTTTCGTTTTCTTTCGACAGTACGTATAGTGCAAGCGTAATGTTATTATGGTGTTGCAATATTACAAAAGCATTCGATTATTTATTGTTTTTACAAAGAATCGTATGGAATACAAAGTAGATTTGGAAAAATTCGACTATATAGTGGCGAAGCTCTGCCGGTCACTGTTTTTAACTTTTTTTTTTACGATTTTAATTTATCGCCGTGCCTAGACGCGAATATTATTAGTCACACCCGATCGCTATGAAACAAAATAACCGTTGTCTTCAAAATACGATATACCTACTTTATGACGACGATAACAGTAAAAACCGTAATAATATTGTTTGAACATCGTGTTTCGATAACACGCGTCAAAAACGTTTATTGATCAATTCATGAAAACACGCGAGAACTATCATTTTATGTGTTTTATGTTGTCGACGTGGGTGGATTATAGTGTTTAAAACCATTGTTCGGACGAAACTACGTAAACAACGACACGTTAAATATTATTATTTTGCCATTTGTTTTTTAGTAATATTTGGTAGATAATTTATTATGATAATAATCGTATTTAACACCGTAATACATGTGATCGTGCCAAAAAAAATTTCTTATCGTTTTCAGATAATACGTTGTTTTTTTCTTTGGTCGTTTCGTAGATTTCGATCCACACAACCAGGCTTTAGAACAGTTTCGTGACTCAGCTGATAATATAGTCGAAAATGTTATTTTAATCGACACGTTTTTTTTTTTTTTATTTTTTTTTTTATAACGAATCACCTCGAGACTAAACAGAAATTTTACATTTTTAACAAAAGATTCTTAACAGGTTTCACTAAGAGGTATAGAAAAGCGTAAAACGATTTTAATTGTTTTCGAACAATAATTGCGCTAACGAGATCGTGCTTACTACATTAAAACAACGCGGTTATTTTAAATTTGAAAAAAAAGTTTTATGTTATAACGACAATAACAATATTATAATGTTACGTAGACGCTTTTCATTTCGTCCTGGGTTATTCACGTTTTTACGACGATTATGCCGTTTAATAACTGCCGCGATAACTCTTCGTTATGAAATCGCTGGACTCGGTTCGCGACCGTTAAAAAGGTTTTTAATAAAACATCTATATGGGTATGCACGCGTATTTTTTGCTAACGACAATTCGAAACGTTGTCTTACACGGTGTTATAAAATGTATGACTGATTGTTATCCATGGTTTTATCGTTGATATATTATTATGATAGTAAACGGTGTGGACTGCGTATTATACACCGTTTGGCTAACGATAAAAGTCGTGCGGATTCCGATAAGCAAAATGGGATATCGTGGGCATTTATAGTGATATTATTTCAATGTTTTTCAGTTCCGTGTAAAAAAAAAAAACTAAAACTATTTTTTCGCCTCCCGTAAATCCTTCCGTAGGTATCCCTTATATCAGACCACGGGTTCCTAATGTTTTCTTTAATCGCACTCTATGCTCTGATAAGTATCGACTTTACGTTTTATCACGGCGGGCTCACTATATAAACATTTGGAGACCGGAAACTCTGCGCGCTAACTTAATTGTGAACATTGTTGTTGTAGCCGAAATTCACCGTCGAGTTACTTGAAAGAGTTCGTTTTAAATCGGTGTTATTAGAAAAATACAATGACGATAATTGTTTAATAATTAATAATGGATATCGTTCGTCCGCTCGTCACGCTCGTTTTACTAAAAAAAAAAAAATCATTTACAAATACAAAAGTAATAACACGACACACGCGATCTGTGAATTCGGGTGTAAAACATCGTGTACGATGATTTTTATCGTATTTTTTTTTATTTTTTTATTGGAGGGGGGGGTGGTTTAGTATATACATTATTAATAAATGTACTGTTATAATATCTTCCGGCCGATCGACAACGACGCCCGGTGGACGACACACGGGTTCGGTCGAAATTACTCTCTCGGAGGGTATCTTTTATCGGCGCGGGCGATTCACCGGGCACGGCCGGTCGAAAACACACCCGCGGGGGCAGCGTATAATAGGACGTGAGTGGCGCGAAACGGCAAAAGGCGCCGCGATTTCTGCGCATAACAGCGGTTTTTAGGCGCGAAACGAACGGAAAACACAGCCGTCGACCGCCAACACGGCCAACACGGAAACGGTTCGCGGCGGGTTTCGACGGTGCTAAAACAGTGAGAATCGCACTCGGGTACGTAACGTTTTGCGCGTACGCCTCTCCGCAACGACAACCGCAGACGCCGGGGCCGCGTGCGCCCGGCCTTTTGAGCGTTGAACGTGAACGGGAGCGCTGCCCGGACACTGTCCGAAACTATCGGGTTGGACGCCCCCGCGAGCAGTGAAAACGCGGCGGCGGCGGTTTATCATTCGCCGAACTCCGGACGGCCGTACACCGCGCGGCCATATCGATCGCGTCGCCAATGCCCACACGATCCGAGCGCGAGATTTCATTTCGTTTGTGTGTGTTTTTTTCTTCTCGGTTTTTCAACGTATCGCCGTATTTTGGCGGGAAAACGCGTCGCCCGCTATCGTAATAGAAATCGTAACGCTGCGACGTCGGAGACGGACGCCGGCGGACGGCGCGAGAGGCGCTCGTAAAACGCGCGCGCCGTAAACCGGCGTGAAACCCGTACCATTATTATTACTATTTATGCAGCGTTCGCGCGTATTACGGCGGCCCGCGCGCGGTTAAAACCGCAGTAACCGGCGTCGGTCGTTGCGCGTTTTTCTTTTCCACTATAGTAAATAGTAAAATAGTACTAGTGGTAGTAGTAGTAGTGGTAGTAGTAGTAGTAGTAGTAGTAGTAGTAGTAGTGATAGTAGTTGTAGTAGTAGTAGTAGTAGTAGTGGTAGTGGTAGTAGTGGTAGTAGTAGTAGCAGTAACAGCAGTAATAGTAGTAGTAACGTAGTAGTAAAGTAAGCACGCCGAGCGGTATACGCGTATAAATTTACGCGTGTGTCGTACGGTACGGTCGCCATAAATGCGGTTTTTCGTGCGTTTTCCCTCTCTGCCGGAGACCGTCGTTGGGTCACCGCGAGCGCGGGAAACCGGTTTTCCCGCGCGCGCGCGCGCGCTCGGAGACAGAGACGGAACGCAAACACATCGGCAGATCAGCTACGCCGGGGTCATTGGCTCTCTCGCGGTCTCCGAGGAGAGGCTGTTGCGCGCGCTCGCGGTTTTCCCGCCCGCCGCTCATTTACCGGCGCGATAACAACAACGGTAACAATAATGGCGTTCAGGTCCACGCGCGGCCGAGGTTTACGACGGCCGACGAAATTCAGGCGCGGTGAAGGGAGGGGAGGGGAAGTGGGGGAGGTTTTCTTCCGCCGGTTTTCGCGCTCGTCAAAAACGTGTTGACCGGCGCGAACGGAATTGATTGTCGTTTCGAAAATCGAAACGAACGCGGCCGAACGGGGTACGGAAAACGCAACGTTACCGTATTGCTACGCGTGCGTTTATGACGCGTAACTCGACGCATCTCGCTGCGAGTTCCCCGGGGTATTTTTCGCACAGTTAATAAAGCCGGGGTGGTCCGTGCGCGTCCCGAGTGCGTCCCAACAGATCGATTTTTTAACGTAGCCCGGTTGCGTCCCGGTCGATTTAGAGTTGCCCGGCGTGCACCGCGAGCACGCGAACCGACTTGAATCTCAAAACCTTTGGGTTATTGTGTCATCAGCTATTGATCACAACCATTTGGGCTGGTCGAGTGTTACGAAACAGATACAGAACACACAGTATCTGATTTTTTTTTTGCCCATGAAAAATGGAATAGCTTTTACGTTGTTTTGCGAATTTTGAAAATCATAACACTAATTCAGTACCGTGTTGCGGGAAAAATTTTACGGTTTACACTCGTTCACCGGGATAAGTTATTACGCTTTTAGCCGCATTCCATAGTCTCGTTGAGTTTTACTATCGACATTGAAACGAAACGTTGTTTTCCTACTGATCAGTTTATCAGTTTTTAAACGAGTATAGATAAGCGCCTACCTAAGACTGTATCGATAAGACCGCGGACGCACTCGGGATGACTCCGTTTTATACGGGTACCGGTCCGGAACGTTTCCGCGAGGACAGTTTTCATTCGCCGATTACGTGCACGGAATTTTCAAATCTATTCTCCTACAGGCGCAGATAAATCGTGTAATCAGCTAGACGGGCGACCGGCGATCACTGATAACACGTTAAGTTTTAAATCTGCCAATTAGCTGGCGACTCTTACATTACGACGACGGAATTAATAAACTCTCGACAATTTCTCCGGCCGGACACGCGAAAAGACGAATGGAAAAGCAACCGCCCGAAAAATTTGATGATCTCGTGAAAGATGCGGGTACGTACAGCTCGGCCCGGGTCAGATACGCTTTAAGGACCAGACTAAACAGGATGCGAACCGACCGAGGCCGCTGTAGCCATGTAACCTGCGAACAAGAGATAACCCGGCGTGCGATCGTGGAGCCCAACTACAGACAATGTATCGCGCTGTTAGCCAAGAGAGAAAGTTCAGTGGCACCTTTCAAGAGTTACATGCGACACCAGACGAAGCTGTCTGATGCGATGGCCGAACAACCGGAACATTGATATAATATTATGACGACACGGGCACAGAACGACCATAACGTATTACCGCTTTAATTTCGTAAACTAGTCATAATTTATACTGTATTTGCAGCTGCATTAAGGTCGTACGAAAATAAAATTATACATTATGGTAGGTACTTGTTATGTCTGCGGGTAATACTCGGAACAATCACGGTCTCGGTCAACGCGGTAACAATGGTAAAAAAAAAAAAAAAAACAGACATATAAAAGTTATCGCGATAGTTATCCACAAACGAATGGATATGATAAAACCGGCGGCCTTCAAAAAAAAATAAAAAAATAGCGTTTTTCGGTGGCGTTAATGTCAACTGTGCCTGTACGTCTCCTCGCCGTAGTCGTTTAAATAAAAAAAAAAACATCTCGGAAAATCGAAAAATAATCTTCCCGAAATTCGCCGCAAGATTACGAAAAAAAAAAAAAAAAAATCTCATGTCATTTTTTTGATTGCAGCAAGATTTCTGGGCGGAAAAGTCGCTCGCGCAATATCATTACGGTACTCGCAAAACCAATACACCCGCGGCTATTATATGCTCAGAATCCCAAACGATATAATTTGCAGTTTACGCGATTCGCACAACGCCAAAACACTCGCGGAAAAAAACCATTTTAACGCAATATCATCCCGCCGTAGAAAATATGGACGAACGGTAACGTAGGTACGTCTCTCCGGCTCATTCCCCCATCCATTTAAAAAGTCGATTTACTGCAATAAAAAACGCCATACGGATTCCGCGGGTTCGGTCGTACAAGTAATTATACTAATTAGTAATTACGTGTTATACTAAATATTGAAATGGAAAAAAATAACCCGTCCGTTTCCAAATGGCGTAGGAGTGGTAGGTGGGGGGGGAGGGCTGGAGAGGCGTACGTTAAACGGTAAACAGAAATAACCACAAAATAGGAATTTCTCGAAAAACCGTCGACGTACGCGCTGCAAGGCTCCACCAGAAGTTCGCGTAGCAGTTTCGCGTAACAATTGTTTTTCGTCCGAGCAAATCCGTTCGATTAACCGCGGGGACCGAGCGCGGCCCGGACGCCGTGCGGCAGCCGCGGTTGCCCTTCGCTCGATTTTTAACGCGTATTTTTACGGACTTTTATCCATGTAGGACAACAAACGTTCGGCGGTTAAACGCGTACGATATTTTTTCGCTTGTGTTTAGTTTTTTTTTTTTCACTAATTAGTGTCATGCTCGTTTTCATAATATGCGTCACCGGATGGCGGGGCCGGCCGCCGCCGGCAAGGAAGGACACGTTATTATAATATCGGCGAAAATTATAATAGTAAAAAAAAAAAAACTTAGAAAAAAAAAAAAAAACAACGCGTGTAATACACCGAACCGGATAAATATCGCCGGTTTCCGTATATAATAACAATAATAGGAATAATAACACCTCTGTACGCCGGTCTCCTTGTCGAGACAATAACGTCGTCGTGACAATCGCCCCGGACAAGATAATAGTAATAAAACCGTGTTATCCGTAACAAAATACTTTTCGACACTGTCGCGTCGAGACGGGCACGGTTTTCAACACACGACACGAGTGACCGCGGTCATCGCGCGTGTCTGCGGCGTTTCTCAGCCTTGTTTTTCGTTCGCGTCGTTTCCGTCCGGTCCGGCGTATACGCGACAATAGACGAACGGGCCCTCGTCCGCACGTCTTACTGGCGCACGGACACTTTTCTCGCAGACAACCGAGACAACCCGCACCGTCCGCGGCGATAACCGAACGCCGATCGGTTGTACAAAAACTCAGAATCCCGTGACTTAACCGCCGCGGTCATTCCACTCGTTTCCCCTCTGCTCCGTCTATACCGGTCGTTTCGCCGGTTCCTCAACAAGTTCTGATAATTTTCTTTTCTATTTTCGTCGACCCGTGGGTCTATAGCTCCGCGGTTCTCCGTGTTTCGCATCGACTGCTCGTATTTTATTTCAGTTCCTGACATTTGTCGAATCCATATCGTCGTTTCTAAACCGTCCCGTTTAAGAACACTCCACGAAGTCGCCGTGCGGTTCACCCAAATACGCATTCAAACTTTTAGCGCCTCCGGGCGTTTCACCCGTGCAAAACACTAATTTTATTTCGACGAGCAAAACAAAAAAATCCATACGGGCGTATATTTTAGTAATGAGAAAAAAACGGTAATTCTGTCTCTTAACGCCCTCTTAAAACGTGACACCCATTGCCACCTCCCCCCCCCTAAAATACGTTCCTGCACTTCACTTCAGCCGTGTCATCCGCTTCTGCCGGGCGTCTCATGACACGTCCGACGATTTGCCGACACCTTGTGCGGATATGCTCTAACCGCTTCCACGCGAACGTACGTTTTCCGTTAACACGAGGACAACAAAGATGGAACGCGGATGAGAGTACCGGGAATATTAATTTCTATTTGCTGTACCTGTTCGTTATCGTTTTCCTCTCAGTCGCACTTGTCCGTGCGCTCCGGGCAACTCGTCTCGAAAGCTTCTGATATTTTCATTTCGGTATAGTTTGCGACCCACGTTTCACGTCCGTTATACTGTCGCTACGCGCCGAACGTGTAACGTTTAAACAAATGTTGTTTTCTCGGTCCTTTGAAGCGAAGACACGGAGACAATTTAGTCGAATCGAATGCAAATATACGTACGGTTGTGTAAACGATTCACTGGAGTTTATACACACGATATAACCCGTAACCCGCTGCATAGGCGTACTCTCTCGGTTTAAACAACGAAATTGTATTGGTTCGGCGATCATAATATCATCGTCGTATTATCTATTATCGTATTTATTCGACCGTTCGGCGTTTGGTACATTATCATTTCCCTTTCCTCCCTGCCCCCGCCCCCCCAAACCCCCCGCCGGTAAAAAGTGTATTTTTCGTTTTTGTTTACCGAAACCGACTTTCGCCCCGTGGATTTCTGACGGTATCCAAGAGACGATATTCCGGTCACCCCTGCGTATCACGGTTATCGTAATAATAATAATAATAATAATAATAATATCATAACGATATTGCGTTGCGATATTGTTTTCACGGGCCCCTGCGGGGTCAGACGCGGTGTTGCCGTGCAAACAAAACCGGACCGTATAATAATAATGCGTAATTTTTTTATTTTTTTTTTTTTTATTTTCGAATAAAATAATAACATTTACAAAACAAATACGGCGTAATTTCCGCGGGCGGAGTAGGAGGGGGGGGGGGTGCGGCCCGGGCTCTCGCGAACGCGAGGATTCACCTTTGACCCCGTCCGGACCCCGGGCGCACGCACGCACGCGGTCGACCGGACCGCGCGCATTGAAACGTCGTACGGCGCTCGCGTATTATTCAAATGTCCCCCCGGCCGGGACGGCGCACGCGAACCGTTTCGCGCCCCTGCCCGGCGAGCGCATCTGACGGCGCGGCGCGCACGGCACCGCGGTATTTACACGGGATACGCGCGCGTCGTCCGGCCGGTAATTATATTCACCGCGGACATTATTATTATTATTAATATCGTACGGCCGCGCGGTGGTTGTAACGATATCGCGTGCAAACGTGGCCCGCCGTCCGACGCGGCGACGCGGCGGCGGAGGACCCCGTCGACCTTTTCGCGATTGCCGGCCGCCCCGCGCCCCGAGACCCCGAAAAACGAGGGGGCGCCGATACGCGCGCGCACCGCGCGCGGTCTACTAAACCCGCGGTCGGGTGTACGGTGTCGTTATGAAACGGCGTTTCTCGCGACGCGGCACGGCAACACGCACGCAACGCTGATGACTTTCCCGTTTCGGCCAGTGCTCGGAGTGTCTTTTGTAATTTGATCGGGTGTCTATTATCTACGGTCGTGATAACTGCTCGTTTAATACAGTGTTTTCTGTTCTTTTTTTTTTTTTTTTCTTTTTACAGAACGCGGAAAGGTCCTGAGAATTCGAGGGCCATGCGCCGCGTGTACAGCCGGTATATCCGGTAGGCGGACGCCCGATCCGCACGGGGTCCGGACAAACACACCCGTAATGACCTCGCGTAAACAGTGCACTGATATCGAATGTGACCATGTCACCGGCCTAATGTAAACAACTGTTTTACCGGAAATCTCGTTCGGATTGATAAAACAGACACGAAAGATTCGAAAATGTTGGAGCTGAGCATGCCAATTGGCTGCTAAATAACGGCGTAAACATTTTATAACTGAATTGTACACGTGACACGGGTGTGGTCGGAGACACATGTCTCTGGGGCTCTGTTCTCACCCCCCCTATAAATTACGCTTTCTCGCTTTCTTCTTAAACGAAACGTTTGCAAATCGGCCGCCAAAGGATGGTGCGAGAAAAATTTAAAAATGTTCAAAGGGTGAAGTCAGGGACATCCGCCGTACTTTATCGAACCGTTCGTGTCGGCACCGGCAAAATGATTGCAATATTGACACCGAGTCCGCTACGTTAGCGTCAAAAGTTTTATAACGTTACGCGTGAACACGCGTGGGCGTCACTTTTTCAAAGGTACGCGCTAACGACTAGGCAGGCCGAACACATTTTCGGCAGCGCGATATATAATTTACCGTAGAGTTATTATAAAAAAAAAAAAAAAAGAAAAAAGTTGTTTACACCTACTGCAGTTTACGGCCATAATTATTACCGGCGCTTAAGACCGATTAAAAAAATAAAATAAAAATATTTTTCTCCGCGAAGAAAATTATTATAGTCTCGGTGCGTTTTAGGCTGCACGCATAAGCGTACCCTGCAACGCCCGAAACGATGCCCCTGCATGCAGTCAACGCGCCAAACACCGCAACGTCATAAAATCCTAATGGCATTGTAGTTTTATTTTCGATTTTAACCGCATTCGTTTAGCTCCAGAGCGTCGACGACGTTGTTCTAACAACAGTGCCCTGTAATTATCGTCGCGTAATAACGTAATAATCCGGTAAATTTTTATGTTATTTTCAACCGTCCGTAAGGTCGTGACACATATTAATACGGTCCGTTGAATGCCGTAATGAGGTTTTCAAATTATACATTGTGCTAATAGGATGTTAATACTCCGGAGACACCGCGTCGGCAAACGCTCACACGGAAATCGCCGACAATCCCGGGGCTACAAATGCGAGAGTTTCGGAATCGATCTATGAAAAAAAAAAAGAAAAAAGAAAAAAAGAAGTCATTTTTTCGTCTCCGCGAGTTTGACGGAATAAACGCATTTATAACGTGCATGTCGAACATCACACCGCGAGGAGAGGCGCGATAAATATTACAGGTACTGAGGTACGTATGTATGCAGAACTGCAGTATTGAAACAGCTGCCCTAGGATCAAGAGCCCGGACTAATACTACCGTAGGCCCTAGGCGCTAATATGCAAAAAAAAAACGTCTTAGGATAGTTGAGTCAAGATCAGCTACTGTTATACGCGATTTAATGTAAACCTGTAAACAATGTTAAAAAAAAATCACTAACGAAAAAACGATTATATTAGGAAAAACGTCCTGAAAAAATGTATGAATATAAAACGATTTTCTCGTTTTCCGTACGTTTTTCTCGGGTTTTTTACATTTGCCGGGAAAACTCTTGGAAAAACAAAAAAAAATTACCTCACTAAAGAATCTCCTTAGTCCGATTTTCTTTTAAAAAATCGGAACAAGATTTCTGGTAGAAAAGCTGTGCATAGATGAAAAAAAATAAAATAAACATCTTTGTAAAACCATTAATTTTTTTGCTTCACTCGAAATCTAAACTAAATAAACGGTTCGTTAAATTGTGTAATCCTGTTTTTTTTTTTATTTTTTTTTTTTTCGTTTAATTAAATAATATCTGTTATGTTGTGTCGAATTGTCGATTTATCGATTTTACGGCTATGATCTAATCGTCGTCGTATACATGTCGAGTTTGTCGTCAGCCGATTTGACGCACGCAAATACGGCAAAATGTTAAAGCGACCAACAATGGCCGTCGAATCTTACTACGGGTCAGAACGGCCGTCGAAATCTCCGAAATTGGCCTGTTGTCTAAAAAAAACCGGATGTATATTTTTTTTCATCTGTCAACAACTTTACGACCAGAAATCTTGCTCCGATTTACAAGTGTGGCATTTTTTCCGACTGGGAAGGTACGTTAAGGAGGTCATTTTTCGATTTACCGAATAAATAGGAAATACGCAGGATGTCCAGGGAAATGAATACGATACGAAACAAATATTATTAAAGAAAAAATGTTTGATGCGTACGCAATTGTTTTACCATAAAATGACATGTCGACAATATATTGTCGACAAAACACCGCTATAAACCGAACTCCGCTCTGAATCGTTTTTTCGTTAGCAATGGACCAATCGTCGCGTACAGACATACATCAATAAATTCCCGTGTATGCTCTACGTTACCCGGGCCATCAACGGCGGCCCCGTTATCCCGGCGCAACTTTAGCTCTTTCAAAGGTCTGTGTAGCGCACCCGACGGATTCACGCGCGGCTCTGCACGGCGATGCGTCATCGCGCGGTGGCCGAGCGATCCGAACAGAAGCGGCCGCTGTCGGTCACGGTCCGCCGACAATCGCTTTACGATGTTATATTTTTTAATATTTTTTATTTTTTTTTTTATTCCCATTATTAATTACCCCCGAGAAGTGCATTACGATAATGATAATAACAACACGGCGACGCGCACGCTGTCCGGTTACTACGCCACACTGCAATTTACCACCTCCCGGTATCGGTCGATTAAATTGTCCACGGTAAATTGCTCTCCGCGGACGATTATGCGGACGTCAGGCGACGGACCCGTCATTTCGATGGTGGTGTAATTATAACGAGTCAGCGCTATTATAGCCACCGGGCGGAGGCTAACCGAAAGGGTTAAGTTTCGGCTTTAATATTTTTTTTTTCTATTATTATTATTTATTTATTTTTTTTTTTTGATTGCAACGCGTGCGTGCGTTTACGCGCCGTAACATACTGTACCGGGTGTCCGACACGCGCGTCTACAATAATAATTTGTCCGTGATGAATATTCGGAACGCGTGCAGCCTACAGTAATAACAACGGTTGCGTATACGTAAGCGTATTTCCCGAGCGTATGTCACCGGCGCCGGTCTATCATTATATGCAAATATCTCTCGATTGGCGGGCGTACGATAACAATGCAATTACCGCGGCCATATGGGACGTTTAAGAATAATAATAATAATAATAACGTAACGTACGCGTGTTTGTAAAGTGTGTGCCTGTACAGCAGCGGCGAACGGTATCGAAAAAACGTCACGGTATTGTCGCGGTACGATCGGGTTTGCCGCCGTAAATAACTGGCCGAAAAAACGCCGCCGACCGGAAAATATTAATTTACAAAAAACGCGAACCTGTTCGGATGCCGTGCGGCGGTGTTGTAATAATACCATCTCGTGCGCGCGCGCGCGACCGGTGCACAAAAAACAACACGAATTCGACCAGATAATCCGATCTTATCGCGCATGCGATAGCCGATGTTTTATTGTAATTATGCCCGAGTATTAATTCGCGGATTAATATTAATACCGTCACGGTACGATATTTTACGCGGTCAGGGTGCGATCGGTACCTAGGCGCGTATAGTGTTTTTTTTTTTTTTATTGTTTTCGATTCGACGGCACCGGAACAACGTTTATGAGCGGAAAAAGCGAGTTACCAGCGAAAACTGTTTTATTCTTTTGCTATTGAAACAAGAAAAACATAAACGGAACAAAAAAAAAAAAAACACAAACATTCCGTTTAATTATAAAAACAACTCGGGCAAATCACTTTGTTGTAAAAAACAAAAAAAGAACTGATATTGCTCTGATGGGTATGCCACCGTTTGAGAAGGGAGCATATTATATAGAGTATATCTGTACCAACGCGACCATTATCAACGAAAAACGATTGTTCGTTTACATATTATGTTCGGTTATTATTGGTACATATTTTGAAATGCCGTAATTTGTACGGATTTTTTCAGACAATTATAGTCACACAAAAAACCAAATAATAATTTAAACAAAAAAACACGCTAATATGAGTACTATGTGAAATGTTCAGGTATCCACGATAGTTTTTAACTAAATTACAACGAAAAAACAAAATCGAGTAAAATGAAACCGTTATTACCGGGGTAAACCTTCTCGATTTCCCCCCCATTGTTAAGAAAACTATTTCTTTTATAATGATAAGAAATTGAACAAAGAGAGTTTTATACTCATATTTTTCGTGTGAATAAAATTCCATCGCTTCGTTTGGAAAATGGAAGAATCTGATAGTGGGTTTACAAAGCTACCTTAAAATACCCTACCCCTCCCCCCCCTCAACAACATGCGGTGTAGGTCATATCGAAATTAAACCGAAATGTTGTCATTTCAAACAGCTTATAAAAAACCGCATAAATTTTCGAGTTCGGAATTTCTTGACCCAGAGGGAGCTTAAAGTGACCGAACGAGCGGAAAAAAGACGTATGACAGACGCGGTGCGGCGCAATAGTCTCTATTTCGGGGGGGAAATTCGACAAAAACACGCGTCGTAGTAAAACCGACACGGCGGCGTTCGGAATCCATAACCACACATCGCGGTAAAACGTGCGGTTCGTTTTACGGTAGGATTAAGCCGACCGTGTGTCGGTTACGTTCTGCGCAACGCACGATGGCCGGTAGAACGGGTATCCGTTTATACGGTCCATCGGATGGCACAAGGTTCGCGAGCATTACCCTTGACGATCGCGCACACCTCGCTTTCCCCCGAGATGAAAACCAATACGCAAAGCGCAACTATTATCATTAGTATAAAACGGTTGGCGTGCATCTAACCGAAGTGTTTACCGCACACACGTAGCGTATCGCACGTAACCTCACACGAGCGGCCCTGGAAATCGGCGGCGGCGGCGGCGGCGGTGGCGGCGCAGTGGCGGTAGGGAGAAAAACCTAAACGTTCGTCCTTGCGAACCGCGTGGCTCGTGGATGTTTTCTCGCCGGGAATTTTGCAGCCAGAAAAACGGGTGTCGCAATCGATTCGTTTCGAACCAACGACCGGCCGCGTCGCGTTGGTCGGGGTAACGTCTGGGACACTTATAAGTAGAAAATCTGACACGCATCGTCAGTGTATGTGTCCGGTGTCGTTCGGGACGGTTAACGCGATTGCCATTGTTGTTGTTGTTGTTGTTATTATTACGTTCGCGTGTTACAAGCCGATCGTTAAACGGTTTTTCGAATTTTTATCAAATCGTATTTATTTGACTGCGTCGGGTTTTACCGCCAGTTCGTTTGGTCACAAGACGCATCCAGCGCTGTCGCGTCTCTACGGTGTCGACACGTCCTGCAGTGAAGTGCAATGCTGGTTCTGAGGTGCGCCGCCGTCATGGCCGCCATCGCGATGTGGCCGTTCATATCCGTGGCTTCCGTGTCCATAGCGGCCCGGCAAAAACGACAGTTGGAGAACACGTACCAGGGCCTGGGGGCCAACGTGGAAATACTGCCGGTCGGCGACGCCTCCGGGGTGAGTAGCTCGTACAGCATAGTGGAAACGTCCAAAGTGCCGAGAAAAGAGTACAACGCGTATAGATTGACGGGGGTATCGAGGAGCGCGCCAAGGGATTTGGAACCGGAACACACGGAATACCGGACGTATAACAAGCATCCGTCCAGAGAAGCCAGGCTAGAAGAACCCCAATTGAAATCGTTCAGGGACAGCCAGGTTGATGAACCCAAACATAAATCATACAGGGAAAGTCGGTTGGAAGAACCCAGACAGAAACCATCATACAGGGAGAGCCGGTTGGAAGAACCCAGACAGAAACCGTCATACAGGGAGAGCCGGCTGGAAGAACCCAAACAGAAATCGTCATTCAGGGAAAGTCGTCCGGAAGAAACCAAACAGAAACCGTTCAGGTTCCCCGAAGAAAAGCGACCCACCGGAAGATCGTCCGGTGAAACGGCAGACCGTGACGATGATTTTGACGGGGTTCTGGGGCCGGATCACAAGCGACCGGAGATGAAGCCGTCAAATCGGAGGAGATATAAACCGAAGAAGCCGAAAAAGGACGACGAAGAAGAAACTTTTGGGGAGACCAAACCGGCGCCGAGAAATATCAAAGAGATCGTAGAAGAACGGCCGGCCGAGAGCAAAATTTCCAGTGATCTGAATGACGAAGGCAGCCGGTACATCGGCTCTGGCGGTGGTTACGGCGGTGGAAGTGAGTATGACAAGGAAAAACATTACGACAAGGAACAGGGTCAGAAGTTTTTGGAAGGTCATAAATCCGAAGAAGGTGAAAAAGCGGAAAAGGCATACAAGAAGGAAGAAGCCTACGACAAGGGCGAGAAGGAGGACTTTGGCAGTGACGAGAAACATACGCAAGTACAAGAAAAAGCGGGCGAGAAGAAGGGCCACGTGGATCAGGCGCAACACTTCGGCGAGGCGTACCATGGTAACCACGGCGAAAAGGGCATATCAGTGATTAAGAAGGGTGGTCACAAAAAGGGCAAAAAGACGTCGGGCTTCCACAAGGTCCACCACAAGGACGAATACAAGAAAGACGAGGTGTTCTACGACGAATCGCACGACGGCGGCGAGCACGAGGAACACAAACACGAACAGGAGAAACACGCCAAGGAGAAGGGTGGTAGCGAGAAGAAGGGGCATAGTGACACGGGTTACCACGAGAACCACGGTACCAAGAAGGCGGAGAGCGACCACGGCAAGAAGTACGAACAGGCCAAGGGTCACAAATCCGAAGCCGGCGAACACGCTCATCACGGTCAGCATTCCGAGTTCGCCAAAAAGGGCGGCGTCAAGGAAGGCGAGAAGTACGGGCACTCGGACGCGGGCGGCGGCGGTTACTTCGAAAAAGGCGGATACTTCTAAATTGCGGACCCGACTGTGCGATGCGACATTGTGAAGCCCTATTTCCGTAACGTCGCTGCGTATTAGAGCAACAAAACGTTTTATTTATCGTCCATTACACTTTTTTTTTTTTTTTTTACAGAAATAATATTATTTATAATAATTTTATAACGTGTATAATATATGTGTTATATATTTTGATTCGTTTCTATCCGCACTTGTTGTATTTACTATATTATTATAATATTATAATAGTAATATGTTTAAGGTTTTTTTCATACTTTTTCTTTTTTTTTTTTTTAAGTGTTATGACATGTGTGACATAATATAAAGATATTGTAATGTTTTTATTATTTAAATTATAAAAAAAAAATGTGTTTGATGGTATCAATTGAAAATAATATCGTTTTTTTTTTTTTTTTGGTTTTTTTCATTCAAAACATAGATTATCCGCGAGCAATAATCCTGTCAAAACAATAGTTATTAAAGTACGGTTTCAAATATTTAGATTTCTGATAAAACGGAGAAGCTGTTGGTTTTACACAGATTTGCCACGCCCCCCCCCCCAAAATACGATTTCTCCCTGGATTCGCTTCAAATTCGATGAGTTGGTTTCGGAATCAAAATTGAATTGTTTAGCTGTAAGTACTGCAGTGTAGGTGTATATTATCATGTAAGACGTAGGTAATTAAATTTTACCATCGTTTTTCAAAAACAATTTCCAAGACGGCTCGCTGTATTTCTATACTGTTTTAGATTCTGAGTATAACGAAGTGGTTATTGGGTTTATGAAGATGAGTATTTTCTTTTAAAATATTTTTACGGTTAGTAAACATGCTCCGATTTGTCATAAGTTGTACCGTAATAGATGCTGAATCTTCCAATAATTTTTCGATAAAACCGATTTTTATGATTAACAAAATACACCGATTCGTTCGCGCAGTATTCACATCAATTTCCATCAATTCATTCCTAGACACGCTATTGTTTTTGTTAATTTCACGGTTACCTAAGGAGACAATCACTGCTAATAATATGATACTCCGATCGGAATCGTTTTTTCCGTTTGCAATGATTTATCGTCATAAACTAAATCGTCCCGCGTATACAACGCCTTATTTTCGACTAACCACACAACCGCCTCCTAGTGGACCACACTGACTTACCGCGGTATATCGATCAGTATCAATAACGTTGTAAACGCGCGCACTACTTTATGAGATTATACAAATTAAAAATAGTCGATTTCGGAACAATCCGTACACGTAATGACGGAATCGACTACGCGTACAGTGCATAATAATAATATTTTTGCCCGCGGAACGTTTATACTCCAATGAAAGCGCGAACAATACACGGGAATAATATATAGTAGGTGTATAGCTATTAAATTCGTCCGATCGGAGAACTGTTATTGCGAGTACAAAAATAATGACAATAATGGGGAAAAAAAAAAAAATACAAATAAATACTCGTTTCTAGAGAGCCGACGAGCGGTCCGCTGCGCCTCGTGTGAACTCGTCACCTCGAGCCGACTCGCGCCGATGACGTTTACGACGCGGACTCGGGTATAATTTATAACGCGCGTGTATTATTATTATTATTGTTGCGCGTTTGGTTAAAAACGGTTTTTCGGGGCGAAAAACGAGAGAAAAAAAAAAAAAAAGCCGAAATAAATAAAATAATAAACATTATATCGACAAAGGGGGGGGGGAGTCCATTGTGAGCGCGAGGAGGGTCAATTCGATCGCAATCGCCGGGCTACCCGGGGCTTTTGTGCGCGCCGATTTATTGGACGGCCTCGTTATTTCGCGGTCACGCCGCGGCACAATGCGGACGCGGATCGTCCAAACGTTTGTCGCGTACGACGTACGGCCGGAAACGCCTATTTTTTTTTTTTTTTTTTTTTTTTTTTTTTTTTTGTATTT